CTTGACACCTTCCGTAGCCATGGTCCCCTACTTCAACCTTCTGGTTTTTCTGATCAGAGAAGCCGGGAAGTAGGTTCCCGTTCTTTTTTTATATAATCATAATCGCAGTGCCAGTCCCTTCCAAAAATATATAATCATAATGACCAAGACGGTATACCTCATGTTCCCTCGAATTCCCTACTCAGAACTCAGAACCAGTAAGATAAAGAGGATGGTCTTCCATTGCGCAACAACTGTGGGCTTCACGTGCGCTGCCGCAGACCTGGCATCCAACTTCCGAGGGTTCAGGGTTCAGGGTTCAGGGTTCAGGGTTCAGGGTTTAGGGTTTAGGGTTTAGGGTTTAGGGTTCAGGGTTCAGGGCTAATGATCCCGTGCTCTTCAACCTGTTGAGGCGATGATGAGCCCTAAACCCCAAAGCCGAATTTGCACCAGTGCGTTCCCCTACTACCCGCCCTATGTAACCCCCCGGTTTAGGGTTTAGTGTTTAGGGTTTACGGTTTAGGGTGTTCCCCTCAGAAATACGGCCATTTTGGGGATGCCAAAGCCAAATCAATGTTATTTCAGGGGGAACCTAGGGGGGGTAGTATAGAACGGGGGGAACCCATGAAGCCGATACGAGTCTATTTTAGGAACCCAGAACCTACTACTTGGTCTGTAAAATGCCTAAGAATTTTCAGGGCATCTTGTCATCACAACATACAGAAGAGTAGGCCTGGGCTGCTTGTAAGGGAGACCTCGGGGTTTCGAAGGTCTACTTGATGGGAGTTCTGCGTGCCGTTCTCGAGCCCTTCTTCTGGGCTCTCTTCTTGGTCACCGCGCTGGTGCCCTTGGCAAGGCTTCATGTCTGCAGCAGTCCTGACAGGTGAGGTATTTCGACTTATTCTTGATATTGGCAATCGTATTGGATGACTATACTGCTGCTACTGCTACTGCTACTGCTACTGCTACTGCTACTGCTACTGCTACTGCTACTGCTACTACTACTACTACTACTACTACTACTACTACTACTACTACTACTACTACTACTACTACTACTACTACTACTACTTCTACTACTACTACTACTACTACTACTACTACTTCTACTACTATTGCTACGACTACCACTACCACTACCACTACCACTAGACGACGACGACTTCTACTACGACTACTACTACGACGACGACGACGAACAGGGACCAACATGTAGAGAGCTGACTAGGTGTGTGCCCCCCAAGAGACCCTCAGACAAGACCCTCTATTGGGCTCAGAGGTGTAGGGCTTAGGGATCTCGTAGGGTTTAGGGTTTAGGGTTTAGGGTTTAGGGTTTGGGATCTCTTAGGGTTTAGGGTTCAGGGTTTAGGGTTAGGGATCTCAACCCCTGAACGTAACCTGAACTCCCATGGGTGATCGTGTTGAGTTGGGTTTGTGTATGCAGGTTCTTCGAGTGCCTGCTGCTGCAGGCCGAGCTGCTCCAAGGGTGGTACTCTACTTACCATGCAGGTTGGTTTGGGGTTTATTGGGTTTATAGGGTTTCTAGGGTTTATAGGGTTTATAGGGTTTATAGGGTTTATAGGGTTTATAGGGTTAATAGGGTTTATAGGGTTTATAGGGTTTAGAGGGTTTATAGGGTTTGTAGGGTTAATAGGGTTAATAAGGGGTTAATTATAGGGTTTGTAGGGTTTTGGGGTTTAGGGTTTAGGGGGTTGAAGTTAGGTGTCTTGGGGCTGTGCTAACCTTAGTTGAATCCCGTGGCGGGGCGGGGTCAGTACTTGCGTTGACACTTGTCGAAAGTTGAGAAAGGGCGTGAGTGAGACTGGAGGGGCTGTGCTCAGAGCAAAGCCGAAGAGAATCATGCACATCGATGACCATCAATGCCTGAGACCCACCCACAGGGAGAGAGAGAGAGAGAGAGACAGAGAGACAGAGAGACAGAGAGAGAGAGAGAGAGAGAGAGAGCGAGAGAGCGAGAGAGCGAGAGGATAGAAGAAGATGCGACGAGCGCGACAGAGAGTGAGAGAGCAAGGAACCGTCAGTGACTGAGTCAGGGGCCATGGCGGAAGTAATGCAGCCCCTAAACCCTAAACCCTAAACCCTAAACCCAGCACCCTTGAGTTGTACCCAAAATACAGATGCCAAGTAAGTGGCAGAGTCAGCGTCAGCCATAAGTGCTCCCTGTGCACTGGATTCCTTTCCTCCACTGAGTTCTGCTAACACTAAACTTACCCTAAACCCTAAATCCTAAACCCTAAACCCTAGACCCTATAGGCCAGACCCTCGACCCCAGACCCTAAACCCTAAGCCCTAAGCCCTAAACCCTAAACCCCAAACCCCAAACCCTAAACCCTAAACCCAAACCCTAAACCCTAAACCCTATGCCGTAACATGCGCCAGCAGGGCTGAGACAGAGCCCTCAGACGTGGTAGGAGAGGTGCCCCTCCTGCCCAGAGAAAACGCGCAAGAAACCTAGACCAAGGCGCTTGAAACTACATAGTTGAGACAGACAAAGAGGGGACCAGATTCCTAAGCCCTAAACCCTAAATCCTAAACCCTAAACCCTAAACCCTGAGCCTAGAAGACAGAGACGCCGCCAAGAGGTCGGACAGGTCTTCTGCGGGCAGTTCAGCCACAGCCGCCCCAGGAGTATCCCTGAAGGGCTTTCGTGAGGGTTTAGGGTTTAGGGTTTAGGGTTTAGGGTTGAGGGTTTAGGGTTTAGGGTTTAGGGTTTTCCAGTCGCAAAAGGGTTCGGGTTCAGGGTTCAGGGTTTAGGGTTTAGGGTTTAGGGGAGTACAGGCCCTGCATTGCTCGTAGCTTTGCTTCTGGAGTTGTAGGCTTAGCTAGGCTTCTGAGCCTGAGACTCACATGTCGGCCCCTAAAGCCCTAAAGCCCTAAACCCTAAACCCTAAAGACCTAAACCCTAAACCCTAACGCCCTAGGCGTATGTTAGGTGCATCCCTTTGGGGAACCAAATGAGCCCTAAAATTGGGTCATCTACCCTGTACCAATATACTTCCTACTGAGGTATATGATCCAGAAACCCAAGATGTCCTAAACCCTAGACCCTAAACCCTAAACCCTAAACCCTAAACCCTAAACCCTAAACCCTAAACCCTAAACCCTAAACCCTAAACCCTAAACCCTAAACCCTAAACCTACTGTTGTTCCGGCGGAGGCCTCAGCATGACCAAAACATGGCCAACTGAGGGGATCCCCAACCCTTTAGAGTTTAGGGTTTAGGGTTTAGGGTTTAGGGTTTAGGGTTTAGGGTTTCAGTTTAGGGTTTCAGTTTAGGGTGCAGGGTTTAGAGTTTCGGGTTTCAGTTTAGGGTGCAGGGTTTTCGGGTCTATCTTGAGAGGAGACCTCGCGTTTCTCATAGCTTCACCATGGCCTGTTGAGAGAATTGCCCTAAACCCTAAACCCTAAACCCTAAACCCTAAACCCGGTTGCTGCATGTTCGGCTCTCAGCTGGCTTAAATCGGTACTGCGCCAAGCTCCCGACGATGTGTCTTGGCAACATCCGGGCGCTTGATGGCCTTCGAGGGTTCATGGGCTCCTTACCCACATGGGTGTTTAGGGTTTAGGGTTTAGGGTTAGGGTTTAGGGTTTAGGGTTTAGGGTTTAGGGTTTAGGGTTTAGGGTTTAGGGTTTAGGGTTTAGGGTTTAGGGTTTAGGGTTCGGGTTCAAAATAGAACAGCATCCCCTTAAAGGGACCCCCCAACAAGGGCACCCCTATTTTCGGAAACCCCCGCATGTCGCTCAGGCCATCATATATATATATATATATATATGACACACTAGCACAACATAAAAAAAACTCCGACGGTTTGCGTACAACATGTAGTACAAGAAAGTGCGGTGTGATAGAACTATCGTTTCGGCAGCTAAGGCCCTGATAAAGCTTTGAAATCTGGGTTTAGGGTTAGGGCTCAAGGTTTAGGGTTTGGGGTTTAGGGTTTAGGGTTTAGGGAGTGGGGTTTGGGGTTTAGGGTGCCTGCATGCCACCTCAAATCCCTTGCAACATCAAGACTTCAATAGGGAACGAGCAAGGACGATGTCACTTCTGAACGCATCCAAAGAACATGAATCATAGACTCCATAAAGTAGCATAGACAAACTGCACTTGTTTTTCCATACACATGTATATATATATATATATATTTAAAAATCATTTATGTATGCACGCACGTTGGGGCCCCCAGAAGTCTCCGTAGGAATTGTTCTGGCTGCTTGAACTGTCTGGGTATACCCCTAAACGCCTAAACCCTCAACCCTAAACCCCAAACCCCAAACCCCAAACCCCAAACCCTAAACCCTAAACCCTAAACCCTAAACCCTATACCTCAACCGTGTAGAAGATTGCGATGCCCAGGTCACGCCCCCTCAGTGGGAGCCCTCCTACCCGGACTGGTGCAGACCGCTCCGCGACACAGTTTTGAGCTTTCGGGTTTAGGGTTTAGGGTCGTTTAGGGTATAGGGTTTAGGGTTTAGGGTTTAGGGTTTAGGGTTTAGGGTTTAGGGTTTAGGGTTTACCTCAACGCGTATCCATTTGCAGCCGGGCCAGATTCTGAACCCTAGTAGCATCTGGACGACAGGATTCCCCGGCACACGTGTCAACAACCATGCTCTATCTAGAGGTTCAGTGGTTTGGGGGTTGGGGTTGCGGGTTGGAATCGCACAGGGGCTTCATTGTCTGATTATGGCGTAGATGCGAGCATCTTGAGTCCACACCGCCGTGAGTCGAAGAGAATGACCCTAAGCCCCATACCCCACAACCTCGTAGAGTTCTAGCATTCGCATATAGTGGTGTTTGGCGTGTATTGTTTTCGTTTAGCCTGTGTGTGGTATACGCAGTTTGGGTTTGCATGCCCGCTTGTCACTCGAACCGAGAGCCTACGCGAGTCGCGAAACTGTATGAGCATAGTCATCAGGTCTCGACAAGTGGGTCTCACACAATTTTTGACCTTTAAGTGCTAACCCTCAGCAGAAAAGCTTTGTTTGTCCATCTCCTCATAGCCATGTCGGTGGCTGCTCCGTTCCAAGCCTGTGACCACACTCCGCCAGCCAAGGATTTCAGAACTTGCTAACTCAGATACAAGAGGACATCCGGATGCGGGTTGTTCTTGGGCGGTTGCCACGCCTAGCAAGTGTTAGTGGACAAGCATCCTGGTCTACTATCTGCTTAAGAACCCATCAAAACATCAAAGATGATAATCTGAGAATCCCTACATTGCCTTTATACGGAAGACTTATGCAAATAGCAGTCGCGTGCAGCCTTAAAGTGCCTCGACAGAGCCGCTTGAGCCCGCTTGGCCTAAACCCTAAACCCGAATCAGCATCCGACAGGAGCACGAGAGAGAGATCCGCCGCCTTAAGGTGGCTTGGCGTTGTTCAGGGAGCCTGTCGTCACAGGCGAACAGGATGCAACCGTGCTTCCCACCAGGGGCCTGTGAAGCGGTCTTATGGGTTACGTGTAACTCAGGTATAAAGTTTGGAAGTAGCATATAACCAACTTATACACCACTTGTAGCCAAAGGGCCGTGCTGATACACTAAAACCCTAAAGGAACCCAAATCCTAAACCCGAAGCTTCAAAAATGACCATAAACCCTAGACCCTTATTTAAAACATCTTAAGCCCCCTAAGCCCCCTAAACCCTAACCCCTAACCCCTAAACCCTAAACCCTGAACCCTACACCCTAAACCCTAAACCCTAAACCCTAAACCCTAAACCCTAAACCCTAAACCCTAAACCCTAAACCCTAAACCCTAAACCCTAAACACTAAACCCTAAACCCTAAAAACCCCTCCCCCCCCCCCCCCCCCAATGAGGCAGACAACGACCGCTTGCTTGAGGAGGCTGGGCTTCGGCTTCGCGGGTCCTCTCCGGTCTTACCGGGCAGGGTTTAGGGTTTAGGGTTTAGGGTTTAGGGTTTAGGGTTTAGGGTTTAGGGTTTAGGGTTTAGGGTTTCGGGTTTCGGGTTTCGGGTTTCGGGTTTCGGGTTTCGGGCTTCGGGTTTCGGGCTTGGGGCTTGGGGCTTGGGGCTTAGGGCTTAGGGTTTAGGGTTTAGGGTTTAGGGTTTAGGGACAGTTGAACTTGTTTCTCGACGCTGGCATTGTCGGAAAGCGACGTCCAGTCAGCAGTACTGCTCCTCTGTTCATGTCCCTAGGGCTCCAAGTATACTACCCTAAACCCTAAACCCTAAACCCTACATTGGGGTCTAAAGTCTGTAATTAGTACCATCCCCGGTCGACTGCCCAGGGTTTAGTGTTTCGGGTTTAGGCTTTAGGATTTAGGGCTTAGGGCTTAGGGCTTAGGGTTTAGGGTTTGGGGTTTGGGGTTTGGGGTTTGGGGTTTGGGGTTTGGTATCTTGGGTCACTTGTTTCGATCTTGAGGGCTTCTAATGCAGCAGCCTTCATGCACCCCTCCCCCGCCCCACGCTATGCCTTCCCCCCCCCCCCCCCCCCCCCCCCCACCCCCCGGCGACTTGGAGTTCAAGACTTAGGGTTTAGGGTTTAGGGTTTAGGGCTTAGGGTTTAGGGTTTAGGGTTTAGGGTTTAGGGTTTAGGGTTCATGGTCTGTGGTGGTTCAGAGTTGGGCTTTAGGGTTTTCACTTTGGCCCCCCCGATGTTCATGTTCAGGGTTCAGGGTTTAGGGTTATGTTGAGGGTTTAGGGTATAGCCATTTTGGCTCAAGGTTTGGCTACGAGACCCGAAAGGGTAATGCTTGACAACTCGTAGAATTTCTTGCCTCACTTGTGCCATGGCAGACAGAAAACTCGTTGCTTGCATTGGGTATACTCTGAGATTAGCACAGAGACAGAAGGAGATTGATGTTGCTGGCCACCTCTGGCATGGTTTGTACTCTTTGACAAAGACAACCAGTGTCACAGTCCGCATCAAAAAGCCAATCAGTCTCTACTCGGCATTGGGCTTCAGTGACATGATGAGTGAAAGCATCTCCACGGTGCTTGTCGACGATGCTCCAAGCCAAGGGTGTGATCCTTCCATTCAGACCCAGTCAAAGATGCAGACTTCGACTGTCGTTGATGTCGACAGCAGTGCTCTCAGAAGCGGTGCTTTCAGGCATGAAAAATCCTCTGACAAGGGCAATCCAGACAACGAGGGCTGCTTTGTGCAGGCGCGTGGAGAGCTGGACTGTCGGGAAAGCGCCACGCAAACCGAGGTAGAGGTCATCTCCAGGCCGCAGTTTGAGCTCATCATGGACGGCATGAAGAAGCAGGTTGAGAACTTGAGCGCACAGGTGGCCCAACTCAGCCATTCCGTTGGCGAACCCATATCAACTCGGATTATGTCCAGATGCGAGCCATCAGCAGAGGCAAGCAGTGATGTGTCGTCGTCGGTTGTGATGCCATGGTTGCCGCACATGACCCTTGAAGAGGTGCAGGCACGGGCTTATGCCAAAAAGGTTGACGACAGGAGTCGTCGCAGGCAGCAGCGCCTCCAGTCACTTGGAAAATGTGCAGACAACACCTGACCTGAACTGGTGTGCGTGTCGTTAGTCTTCTAGTTTGTGCTCGGAAGTGGATCTGTGATGCATAGCGTCAACACATGTCCCCTGAGCTGCCGGCATGCCCCTCAGTCCGTGCTCAAAAAGGGTTATGTTGAGGGTTTTACAGGTTCAGGGTGTAGTGTTTCCCCCGTCCCCCCCTGTGGCTGGTGACAGGGTTTATGGGGTTTATAGGGCATAGAGGATTTATAGGATTCACAGGGTTACGGAGGGCCTTAACGACATTCTGAAAAACAGTTTTAAGGTCGAAGTCCCCGTATGACGACAGGGGCCTATCATGCTCGGGAGCCTAAACCCTAAACCCCTAAGCCCTAAACCCTGAAAACCCCTGAGCTCTAAACCCTGAATACCGTAAACCCTAAACCGTAAAAACCCCGGAGCCCTATAAGCCCTGCACTGTGGACTGCATTGCAGCTTGCCGCATTTTCCTGCCCCATCCCCAAACTCGAGACATCGGAATCGTGCGGAGACGAGGAAGCCCCGTAGCACCTGTGTTCCTTGTTTCAGAGCTGATGTAGTGTGAATAGGGTTTAGGGTTTGGGGTTTAGGGTTTAGGGTTTACGGTTTAGGGTTTAGGCTCCCGGCGGAACCTGAACCCGAACCCGAAAGTCAAAGAAGATATCTCCGCGCAGCACGTCGCCCAGGTGCGACGCTTGGGAGGCAACCCGGGAGGTAACGCTGCTTCCCAGGACACTGCAGGGCTTAGGGTTTAGGGTTGAGGGCACCCCAAACCGAAACCCGCTAACACTGGCAACAACCCCCTAAACCCTAAACCCTAAACCCTAAACCCTGAACCCTGAACCCTAAACCCTAAACCCTAAACCCTGAACCCTAAGCCCTAAACCCTAAACCCTAAACCCTAAACCCTAAAACCCTAAACCCTAAACCGCGCGGAAGGAGCTTCGGCAGGTCGCTCTTCCCCACGCCGATGCTCCGAAGGTGCCTCCAACGACTCTGGGGCCCTGTAGTGAGTTCATAGGGTTTAGGGTTTAGGGTTTAGGGCTTAGAGTTTAGGGTTAGGGTTTAGGGTTAGAAAGAGAGCTTCGAAATGAGAGCCAAAAACGCATGGGGAGGCAGCCACGTGCATCCGACCCTCTCCTCAAGCCTTGAGGAGGAGCTACCAGCAGTTCCGTACTACCCTAAAACGTCCATGTACCTAAATAGGGAATACTTGGGCCTTAAGTGCTTCCTGTCTAGGGACTTTGGGCCCAAGTATATCATAAGGTACATGGAAGGTTAACGTACTACAACCCCATTTGTCCCCCAGGCCCATACCAAGCAGTTGGAGTTAGAGGCCAGCAACCCAGCTTCTGTAGTCGAGCTTGGAGTGGCTCTAGGGTTGAGGGTTCAGGGTTTAGGGTTTAGGGTTTAGGGTATGACCCCCTGACTCCACTGAAGTTGGCAGGTCTTGCCGATCGCGAACCCGACCGCAGAGGATGGCGAACCCAGTGAAAATATCTTTGTCGAGGCGTGGGCTTGAAAAACGGGTTGGAAGGAGGCTTCTGCGGCTCATCCGGCGTGCTGGGATCTACTACCCAGATCTGCCAAAACCCCTGAATAAAGGAATAGACCCTGGTTCGTACTAAGGATCAGTTTTATGAATCAGGGCATATTCCACATAATTAAGGGGTTTGGGAAGATCTGGGTAACTCGACTTCAGCCCTGGTCAGGTCAATCTCCACGCTCTGAAGGGTCTCCCGCAGGAGCTGGTGTCTAAGGCCGAACTGGCTGCCGGAGGTGGTGAGCTTACATGCCAGGCCGTTGCACACGTGGGCTCTGAGAAGACCTCAACAGAGTGGCTCCCCTTGCAGAAGGAGATGTGGAAAGCAAATCCCAACATGGTAACTTGGTAGCCCAGGAATACCCTTTACTCTTTTTTTTGTTTTGGTTCTGAGTTTCCCCTACAATCTTAGCCAACCCCCAAAAAGGGTGCCCTTATTCTCAGATGGTTGCTGGGCTACCAAGGTAAGCGCTGGCGAGGTGACCTGGGAAGGTGTGTGGGAGGCCAGCCGTGCGCTGAACCTCTGCATTCCCTCCGAGACTGAGTAGCTGAGAACACTTTACACTTTTTGGGATACTCTAGTTCCCTTTTCCAGAACTGAAAGTGTACACTTTTTTGGGATACTATAGTCCCCTATTAGAACTGAAAGTGTACACTTTTTGGGATACTCTCATCCCCTGTTAGAACTGAAAGTGTACACTTTTTTGGGATACTCTAGTCCCCTATTTGGAACTGAAAGTGTACACCTTTTTTGTTGGTGGGGCTTATGAACTCAGCAACTACCCAAAGAGCCCAATACCCCTTAATTAAGGAATATACCTTAAGCCATATCAAGGATCCCTATATAAATTAAGCAATATTCCCTAATTAAGGAATATTGGGCTCTTTGGGTAAGGAGACAAAGACCATCGCCGTGGACTTTTGGCTGCCCAACCAGCCGAGACCCATGGCCACCACGAGCCTCAAAGTAGGAGCCTTGGTTTGTTCAGCTTGGTTACCCTTCTTCCCTTTTTTTGGGTTTAGGGTTTAGGGTTTAGGGTTTAGGGTTTAGGGTTTAAGGTACCCTTTGCCCTTTTTGTTTTGAGTTTAAGGTTCCCTTTCTAAGTAAATAAACCCCGAAAGGGGTGCCCTTATCAGAATATGGTTACCTTTTGGCTACCAAAGGAGCTGGGCGGCAATCCTGTAACTTGGACCGTGGCGGCTTCCTGGAGGTGGACGTCGGCGGCAGCGAGGTCAAGAATCGGAGGGCCTCCGAGCATTCCTTAGACACTGAGTAGCTGAGTGAGTACACTTTACACTGTTTGGGATACTCTATTTGGGATACTCCAATTCCCTTTTGACCTCAAAGTGTACACCTTTTTTTGAGGGGGCTTAGAACTCAGCAACTAAGGACATGCTGAAGTCCATCACACCCCAGCCCGGCACCGTCGCGCGGCTCCAGAAGATGTTCCGGGTGCGGGACGAAGCGGCCAAGGTGGTGATGGCTCGCGACCTCGCCGGCGCCCTGAAAGCCACCTTGCACAAGCACCTTTGTAGCCCAGTGGTACCCTTTTCCCTTTTTTGGGTTCTAAGGTTCCGATATACAGTAGCCAACCCAAAAAAGGCTGCCCTTATCATAAGATGGCTACTGGGCTACCAAGGCACAAGCACCTCAACGTGCCCTTGGAGCAGACGCAGCTTGAGGAAGTGATGCACAAGCTTCGGGAGGTCTATGCCGAAGCGTTTGGGGACGTGGCGCACGTGAGTTCCCAAGCTAACAGGCGGCTAAGGGGTAAAAGGAGGGACCCCTAGAAGGGACCCTTCATCTTATTCCCTTATAGAACCCCTGCATAGACCTAAGTAGCCCCCCCTAAACAACCGCTAACTAACCCCTTAAAGTCCCTAAAGTCCTTTAGCCCCTTGAGGCAGCACACGAGAGGGCCTTCCATCATGCCTTGGAAGGGCTTTTTGAGCTGCTTGCTCTTGGAGACTTGGTAGCCCAAGCTTGGTACCCTTTGTCAAGGTTCCCTTAAAAAAAAAAAAAAAGTAACCAACCACCCGAAAATCTAAAAAAGGGTACCCTTTTGCCCCCCCCCCTTTTTTGGGGTTCAAGGTCCCCTTAACAAGGAAGTAAGCAAACACCCCCCAAAATCTCAAAAAGGGTGCCCAAAAATCACAGTATGGCTGCTGGGCTACCAAGGAGAAGCTTCCGGACTATGCTACCGGCCAGCTCGCCCTCAGGTTGTTCACCATCCAGAAGCTTAGTAGTAGAGTAGGTAGCCTTTAGCCGTTTTGGGGTAGTAGAATCCCCTTATAATCCAAAAGGTTAACCTTTAGTTCCCCTAGGTACTGGACAACTAAGGAAGTGCTTGTTGGGCGATGACTGCCCGACGAACATGACCTCCCAGGTGATCATGCAAGCGTATGAGCAGGCCGGGGGGGGGGTTTAGGGTTTAGGGTTTAGGGTTTAGGGTTTAGGGTTTAGGGTTTAGGGTTTAGGGGTCTATGGGGTACGCATGCTTATGATTATGAAGAGGCATTCATTGTCAGGTGTCTCCTTTGTCATGAGGGCCCATCCCCTCCTAGGTGAGGAAGCCCGTGACGTCGTGGGAGAGGAGCGTGCTCGTTGTAACGGCCATCTCCACTATCCTCATTGCTTGCAGCTTCATCGCGACAGGCGGGGCCTGTGTCGACCCCTAAACCCTAAACCCTAAACCCTAAACCCTAAACCCTAAAGACTCGTAAGCTCAGCCTGGCTGTAGACCTGAAGCGCTTCACGTGCTGAACGGCTCATGACCGGCCCTTTCAACGGCATAAGCTGGCCGAAGTCGTGGGCTTTCATGCTCTTATTTGGCATGTTGTGGTCACACGTCCTCACTAGATCTTCGTAGCTGAGTGAGTACACCTTACACTTTTGGGATACTCTAATCCCCAAGCGAACTGCAAGTGTACACTTTTTTGGGGGCATCTGAACTCAGCAACTAAGAGATGATGCATCTTCATGGGCAGCGTGCGAGGTCCCAAACCTCAGGTCACACCCTAGAATCCAGGGTTTAGGGTTTAGGGTTTAGGGTTTAGGGTTTTCGTCCTGCAAGGCATCTCCCTGGACTACTCGCCCGACTGGGCTGGATGGTTCTATGTGGATACGGGCTTTGCCGTAGTCTTCATCTTGGAGGCATGGTGCGTGGGGCCAGTTGTATGGTTAGTTTCCTTATTAAACCGAGAACATGCTGATATGATGACTTAAATCTTAAATGCAACCCCATTTCGAGCACTTGGCTTTTTCAGCGACTATTTTACATATAAGCCCTAAGCCCTATGCGTAAGTGCCAGAGACAGAAAGACAGCGAGTGCGAGAGACGTGAAGGGGGGGCTCTGTGCGCATACTTCCGGGACGTGCTGTTGCGAAAGGGCTGCCGGGAGTATCGGCATAGAGGGGCAGTCGATGCTTATGTCGTGCCGGCAATCTCTACGTGAAGGTTTTTGTCAAGCTCATTTGCCTTGGACCACGGGAGTACTTCTGTGGACGCTCGGCGCACTCAATGTCAGGACCTTGCATCTTCTCAGATCTTCCAAGACCCCTTCATAAAGGAATATACCCTCATTTATACTAAGGATTGTTATTCTGAATTCGGGTGTATTCCTTGATTAAGGGGTTTTGGAAGATCTGGGTTCTGAGCGTTGGTGACTACGCCCACTCAGGGCTTGGAGGGACTTAGGCTGACAAAAGCGCAGGTAATAGCATAGGCAGTATGATATATGTCCTTGCTTGTGTCCATGGCTACTGTGCATGTGTATGCGTATGGGAACATTTCCTGGTGCAAGATTACCTTACCCAGATTTTGCAAAACCCCTTAATTAAGGCATATACCCTGAGAATAAAATAGGGTATATGCCTTAATTAGGGGGCTTTGGAAGATCTGGGTATATCTAGTAAAATTTGCTCTTCTCCCGCAGGCTTTGCTGTGCATGCTCGGGACTCTAAAACATCAAATATCCTGGGCAGACCTGATCCTAAGGCACTAGACGTATAGGGGTTATTTTTAGGGGGAATGCGACTATATAAGGGGTCGCTTCTAGGGGTCCCTAAACCCTAAACCCTAAACCCTAAACCCCTAGCTTCATGATCAGCCCCAGGAAAGGAATGCGTCTGGAACATTTTCGACATGACGCTTTCCACGGGTGCCGCGGCGGAGATCGCTTACCAGGCTCGAGTGGATAGGGTTTAGGGTTTAGGGTTTAGGGTTTACGGTTTGGGGTTTAGGGCTTAGGGGTCGAAACATTTCGACATGAGGCTGGCTCGTGGAGGCTTTAAGCTCAAACTAATATTATAGCTTAAGAACCCCCCCCCCCCCTCCCCCCAATCAAAAAGAAAAATATCAATTTCTCTCTCTCTCTCTCTCTCTCTCTCTTTATATATATATATATATATTTCCTGATATTCATATTCTTCCTAATGAGGGCAATATAGGGATTATTTTCTTCAAGCTTTTGGGGTTTCTTGAGCAACTCGTCGTAAGGAGTGACCCTTAGCCTTGCCTCAGTTGACCCTCTGCTTCCAGGGACCTCTTCAGGTTGCTGGAACCCTTAGGGTTTAGGGTTTAGGGTTCAGGGTTTAGGGTTTAGGACACAAACAACTGGTAGCTACTGGTACTTTGGAAGGGATACATGATCCGGGGAGGTGGTGATCAACGGCGCTTCCACGCCGAGCCGAATCGCCTTGACCATTCGGGTGTTGCGGCTGGCGCGGGTCTCCTTCTACATGCGTCTTATCAACACGTCTCCTGGCCGCCAGTCAGACCCCTAAGGCTCCATCTAGCCCACAGTAGGTAGTATCTACGGACTTAAGACCCCGATGAGGGTATCATCTGTATACTTGGGAGCGCTAAGGGGACCAAAGAAAACAGCTGCTATTGAGACTTGTCCCCAAGAACTTTCGGGGCGCTGTTTGGCTTCCTTTTTCTAGGGGAGCCCTACTAAGTTGCAGGGTTCTGGCTGGTCCCCGATCGGATCACAGGTTTGGGGTTCAAGGTAGATAGGGTTTAGGGTTTAGGGTTTAGGGTTTAGGGTTTAGGGTTTAGGGTTTAGATGGGTTAAAGGCGTATAGGCCTGTATGGCTTTTGTTGAGGTTCATAATATAAGGTATTTTGTTTTTCCCCACACTCAATGTGAGGTTGTTAGATGTTAAACTCAACTCTTCTCCTCTTCTCCTCGCCCGGAAGTCTTCTCCTCGCCCGGTCTACTCCTCGCTCCCAGTGCCAGTCTCTCTGGAGTGCCCAACCCAGGCTCTCCCTAGAGTGCCCAACCAGAGTGTCGGAGTGCCCAGCCCCAGAGTCTTCCTGGAGTGCCCAATCCCCGAGTCTCCGTGGAGTGCCCAGCCCCGCCCAACCCCAGAGTATCTCTACCAAGAGAGGGTGGGGGATGTTCGAAGTAAAATATTTTTTGCGGGGGGTGAAACGACCCCTACCTTCCTTCCACAACGCAAGCCTTATCTCAAATTCCGTAGTCCCACGAACTGGGACTCTGCGCAGAAAGCCCCTTAATAAAGGGAATATGCCCTGACTCATGATAATGATGATCCTTAGTATGAATTACGTAAGGTATATTCTTAATTAAGGGAATATACCCTGATTCATGATAATAATGATCCTTAGTAAAGATTACGTAAGGTATATTCTAGATTCATGATAATGATCCTTAGTATAGATTACGTAAGGTATATTCTTGCTTATGGAGTTTTTGGGGAAGATCTGGGGCACCGACCTGCAAAGGCCGCTTCTCACCGAGCTGTCCAACATCGTTCAGGGATTCATCATCGCAGTGCCCTCACTGCGCCTTGGGCGAGGTTGGAAGATCCCTAAACCCTAAACCCTAAACCCTAAACCCCAAACCCTAAACCCTAAACCCTAAACCCTAAACATCTCTCTCTCCCTCTTCTCCCTCCCTCTCCCTCTTCTGCCTCTTCTCCCTCTCTCTCCCTCTTCTCCCTCTTCTCCCTCTTCTCCCTCTTCTCTCCCTCTTCTCCCTCTTCTCCCTCTTCTCTCCCTCTCTCTCCCTCTCTCTCCCTCTCTCTCCCTCTCTCTCCCTCTCTCTCTCCCTCTTCTCCCTCTTCTCCCTCTCTCTCTGTCTCTCTGTCTCTCTGTCTTTCTGTCTTTCTGTCTCTCTGTCTCTCTGTCTCTCTGTCTCTCTCTCTCTCTCTCTCTCTCTCTCGTTCTCTTTGTCTTTAATGTCAGGCCATGTTGGTTGAAGTATACATTCTACATGTTACATGCTGGACAACCCAGGAACGGATAGGAACAATCAGTCTAGGTTCTGGGTCATGCTGACCCTTCTGGTCATTGTGTACGTCAGCGCCCTGGGTTCCTTGGCTGCACTTGGCGGGACTCGGAACATGCAGCAAGTCCTTGACATCCGATACTGGTGGGTTTAGGGTTTAGGGTTTAGGGTTTAGGGTTTAGGGTTTAGGGTTTAGGGTTTAGGGTTTAGGGTTTAGGGTTTAGGGGGGCTCTTATATCTATGTATGTAGGACCTTTATGCGTTATTTGACGGTCCTGCTTCGCCTTCCAAAACTTTAAGGATTTTAAGGAATTTAGGGGTTTTCCAAAATTTTAAAAGGACCACAAAATCCTTAAAATTTTGAAAGCCCGGACCTTTCAAAATTTTAAGGATTTTAAGGAATTTAAGGCCTTTTAAATTTCTTAAAATCCTTAAAATCCTTAAAATTTTGAAAGAAAATTAAATTATTTTCCGGAAAGAGGCAGGCCCATTTAAAATTTTTAAAATCTTAAAAATCCTTAAAATCCTTAAAATTTTGAAAGCCCGGGCCTTTCAAAGTTTTAAGGATTTTAAGGAATTTAAGGCCTTTTAAATTTCTTAAAATCCTTAAAATCCTTAAAATCCTTAAAATCCTTAAAATTTTGAAAAAAAATTAAATCATTTTCCGGAAAGAGGCAGGCCCATTTAAAATTTTAAAAATCCTTAAAATCCTTAAAATCCTTAAAATTTTGAAAGCCCGGGCCTTTTAAAATTTTAAGGATTTTAAGGAATTTAAGGCATTTTAAATTTCTTAAAATCCTTAAAATCCTTAAAATCTTGAAAGAAAATTAAATTATTTTCCGGAAAGAGGCATGCCCATTTAAAATTTTAAAAATCCTTAAAATCCTTAAAATCCTTAAAGTTTTGAAAGCCCGGACCTTTCAAAATTTTAAGGATTTTAGGGAATTTAAGGCCTTTTAAATTTCTTAAAATCCTTAGAATCCTTAAAATTTTGAAAGAAAATTAAATCATTTTCCGGAAAGAGGCAGGCCCATTTAAAATTTTAAAAATCCTTAAAATCCTTAAAATCCTTAAAATTTTGAAAGGTTGGGGCTTTCAAAATTTTAAGGATTTTAAGGAATTTAGCGCCTTTTAAATTTCTTAAAATCCTTAAAATCCTTAAAATTTTGAAAGAAAATTAAATTATTCTCCGGAAAGAGGCAGGCCCATTTAAAATTTTAAAAATCCTTAAAATCCTTAAAATCCTTAAAATTTTGAAAGGTTGGGGCTTTCAAAATTTTAAGGATTTTAAGGAATTTAAGGCCTTTCAAATTTCTTAACAACCTTAAAATCCTTAAAATGTTGAAAGAAAATTAAATCATTTTCCGGAAAGAGGCAGGCCCATTTAAAATTTTAAAAATCCTTAAAATCCTTAAAATTTTGAAAGCCCGGGCCTTTCAAAATTTTAAGGATTTTAAGGAATTTAAGGCCTTTTAAATTTCTTAAAATCCTTAAAATCCTTAAAATCCTTAAAATTTTGAAAGAAAATTAAATTATTTTCCGGAAAGAGGCAGGCCCATTTAAAATTTTAAAAATCCTTAAAATCCTTAAAATCCTTAAAATTTTGAAAGGTTGGGCTTTCAAAATTTTAAGGATTTTAAGGAATTTAAGGCCTTTTAAATTTCTTAAAATCCTTAAAATCCTTAAAATTTTGAAAGAAAATTAAATTATTTTCCGGAAAGAGGCAGGCCCATTTAAAATTTTAAAAATCCTTAAAATCCTTAAAATCCTTAAAATTTTGAAAGGTGGGGCTTTCAAAATTTTAAGGATTTAAGGAATTTAAGGCCTTTTAAATTTCTTAAAATCTTAAAATCCTTTACATTTGAAAGAAAATTAAATTATTTTCGGAAAGAGGCAGGCCCATTTAAATTTTAAACATCTTAAAATCCTTAAAATTTTTTAAAAGCCCGGCCTTTCAAAATTTTAAGGATTTTAAGAATTTAAGGCCTTTTAAATTTCTTAAAATCCTTAAAATCCTTAAAATCCGTAAAATTTTGAAAGAAAATTAGATTATTTTCCGGAAAGAGGCAGGCCCATTTAAAATTTTAAAAATCCTTAAAATCCTTAAAATCCTTAAAATTTTGAAAGCCCGGGCCTTTCAAAATTTTATGGATTTTAAGGAATTTAAGGCCTTTTAAATTTCTTAAAATCCTTAAAATCCTGAAAATTTTGAAAGAAAATTATATTATTTTCCGGAAAGAGGCAGGCCCATTTAAAACTTTAAAAATCCTTAAAATCCTTAAAATCCTTAAAATTTTGAAAGGTTGGGGCTTTCAAAATTTTAAGGATTTTAAGGAATTTAAGGCCTTTTAAATTTCTTAAAATCCTTAAAATCCTTAAAATTTTGAAAGAAAATTAAATCATTTTCCAGAAAGAGGCAGGCCCATTTAAAATTTTAAAAATCCTTAAAATCCTTAAAATCCTTAAAATTTTGAAAGCCCGGGCCTTTCAAAATTTTAAGGATTTTAAGGAATTTAAGGCCTGTTAAATTTCTTAAAATCCTTAAAACCTTAAAATTTTGAAAGAAAATTAAATCATTTTCCGGAAAGAGGCAGGCCCATTTAAAATTTTAAAAATCCTTAAAATCCTTAAAACCCTTAAAATTTTGAAAGGTTGGGGCTTTCAAAATTTTAAGGATTTTAAGGATTTTAAGGATTTTTAAAATTTTAAATGGGCCTGACTCTTTCCGGAATATATTTTAATTTTATTTCAAAATTTTAAGGATTTTAAGGATTTTAAGAAATTTAAAAGCGCTAAATTCCTTAAAATCCTTAAAATTTTGAAAGCCCCAACCTTTCAAAATTTTAAGGATTTTAAGGATTTTAAGGATTTTTAAAATTTTAAATGGGCCTGCCTCTTTCCGGAAAATGATTTAATTTTCTTTCAAAATTTTAAGGATTTTAAGGATTTTAAGAAATTTAAAAGGCCTTAAATTCCTTAAAATCCTTAAAATTTTGAAAGCCCCAACCTTTCAAAATTTTAAGGGTTTTAAGGATTGTAAGGATTTTTAAAATTTTAAATGGGCCTGCCTCTTTCCGGAAAATATATTAATTTTCTTTCAAAATTTTAAGGATTTTAAGGATTTTAAGAAATTTAAAAGGCCTTAAATTCCTTAAAATCCTTAAAATTTTGAAAGGCCCGGGCTTTCAAGGATTTTAAGGATTTTAAGGATTTTAAGGAGTTTTAAAATTTTAAATGGGCCTGCCTCTTTCCGGAAAATGATTTAATTTTCTTTCAAAATTTTAAGGATTTTAAGGATTTTAAGAAATTTAAAAGGCCTTAAATTCCTTAAAATCCTTAAAATTTTGAAAGGCCCTGGCTTTCAAAATTTTAAGGATTTTAAGGATTTTAAGGATTTTTAAAATTTTAAATGGGCCTGCCTCTTTCCGGAAAATAATTTAATTTTCTTTCAAAATTTTAAGGATTTTAAGGATTTTAAGGATTTTAAGAAATTTAAAAGGCCTTAAATTCCTTAAGATCCTTAAAATTTTGAAAGCCCCAACCTTTCAAAATTTTAAGGATTTTAAGGATTTTAAGGATTTTTAAAATTTTAAATGGGCCTGCCTCTTTCCGGAAAATAATATAATTTTCTTTCAAAATTTTAAGGATTTTAAGGATTTTAAGAAATTTAAAAGGCCTTAAATTCCTTAAAATCCATAAAATTTTGAAAGGCCCGGGCTTTCAAAATTTTAAGGATTTTAAGGATTTTAAGGATTTTTAAAATTTTAAATGGGCCTGCCTCTTTCCGGAAAATGATTTAATTTTCTTTCAAAATTTTAAGGATTTTAAGGATTTTAAGGATTTTAAGAAATTTAAAAGGCCTTAAATTCCTTAAAATTCTTAAAATTTTGAAAGCCCCAACCTTTCAAAATTTTAAGGATTTTAAGGATTTTAAGGATTTTTAAAATTTTAAATGGGCCTGCCTCTTTCCGGAAAATAATTTAATTTTCTTTCAAAATTTTAAGGATTTTAAGGATTTTAAGAAATTTAAACGGCCTTAAATTCCTTAAAATCCTTAAAAATTTGAAAGCCCCAACCTTTCAAAATTTTAAGGATTTTAAGGATTTTAAGGATTTTTAAAATTTTAAATGGGCCTGCCTCTTTCCGGAAAATAATTTCATTTTCTTTCAAAATTTCAAGGATTTTAAGGATTTTAAGGATTTTAAGAAATTTAAAAGGCCTTAAATTCCTTAAAATCCTTAAAATTTTGAAAGGCCCGGGCTTTCAAAATTTTAAGGATTTTAAGGATTTTAAGGATTTTTAAAATTTTAAATGGGCCTGCCTCTTTCCGGAAAATATATTAATTTTCTTTCAAAATTTTAAGGATTTTAAGAATTTAAAATGCCTTAAATTCCTTAAAATCCTTAAAATATTGAAAGGTCCGGGCTTTCAAAATTTCAAGGGTTTTCAGGATTTTAAGGATTTTAAAATTTTAAATGGGCCTGACTTTTCCGGAAAATAAATTTATTTTCCAATAGTTTTACTGAGTTTGTTTTTTTTATTTAAATGGGCCTGACCCTTTCTGGAAAATACTTGAATATTAGTTTAAAATTTGATAGATTTTAAGGAAACTAGGGGCATTTCAATATTTGGAAAGGCCATGAAGTTCCATGGGTACGTTATATTTTTGGATTTTTGTTTGTAATTTTTGGCAAATAAACCATTTAAGTTTTTTTTTTTGCAATTTTCCTGAAATTCTGAAAGCCTAGGCCTTACAAGAAAAATAAAGAAAACAGCAACACAAATACTCATTCAAAATATTTAAATGCGCTTCTTAGTCCTTTTAAAAAAGAACATTTTGTTTTGTTAATTCATAAGGCTTGTAAAAAAAGCCGGAGGTCCGGGGACGAGCGTTAACAAAAGCATTCCCCTTGAATATTTCTCCCGCGAAACTTTTCTCCCGCGAATTTTGGCGGGAGAAATTCCCGCGAGCTCTCCCTTGAGTTTTTCTGGTTTTCCCGTGGTTTCCCTTTGATGTTTTTTTGGTTTCCCTTCAGTTTCCCGTGAGAGTCAAATCTTCCTTTTACTGTTCCCTTGGACTTCCCTTTGAACTTCCCTTGGTTTTCCCTCGGATCCCCTTCGAAATTAAAACGCATCCCGCGAGAAATCTCGCAAGACTTCAAAAATAAGGGCTTCCTTTTCCCACGGGATTTCCCGCGAAGCAGGCCGTAGGCCCCGAGCTGTGGCTGTAGTCTGCAGGCCCCCGAGCTCTCTGACTGTAGAGTCTCCAGGCCCCCAAATGGGCCTGACCCTTTCCGGAAAATACTTGAATATTAGTTTAAAATTTGATAGATTTTAAGGAAACTAGGGGCATTTCAATGTTTGGAAAGGCCATGAAGTTCCATGGGTACCTTATATTTTTGGATTTTTGTTTGTAATTTTTAGCAAATAAACCATTTAAGTTTTTTTTGGCAATTTTCCTGAAATTCTGAAAGCCTAGGCCTTACAAGAAAAATAAAAAAACAGCAACAAAAATACTCATTTAAAATATTTAAATGCGCTTCTTAGTCCTTTTAAAAAAGAACATTTTGTTTTGTTAATTCATAAGGCTTGTAAAAAAAGCCGGGGGTCCGGGGACGAGCGTTAACAAAAGCATTCCCCTTGAATATTTCTCCCGCGAAACTTTTCTCCCGCGAATTTTGGCGGGAGAAATTCCCGCGAGCTCTCCCTTGAGTTTTCCTGGTTTTCCCGTGGTTTCCCTTTGACTTTTTTTTGGTTTCCCTTCAGTTTCCCGTGAGAGTCAAAGCTTCCTTTTACTGTTCCCTTGGACTTCCCTTTGAACTTCCCTTGGTTTTCCCTCGGATCCCCTTCGAAATTAAAACGCATCCCGCGAGAAATCTCGCAAGACTTCAAAAATAAGGGCTTCCTTTTCCCACGGGATTTCCCGCGAAGCAGGCCGTAGGCCCCGAGCTGTGGCTGTAGTCTGCAGGCCCCCGAGCTCTCTGACTGTAGTCTCCAGGCCCCCGGGCTCTCTCGTTGTCACCAGGGTCCGGGCTGTCTGGCTGTAGTCTGCAGGCCCCCGAGCTCTCTGACTGTAGAGTCTCCAGGCCTTTGGGCTCGCTGTAGTCACCAGGGTCCCGGGCAGTCTCAGGCCCCCGAGCTCTCTGACTGTAGTCTCCAGGCCCCCGGTCTGTCTCGCTGTAGTCACCAGGCCCCCGGGCTGTCTGGCTGTAGTCTGCAGGCCCCCGAGCTCTCTGACTGTAGTCTCCAGCCCCCCGGGCTCTCGTGCTTGCTTGGGTTTATATTGTTTTTTACTTAATTAGATTGACTTAAGTAATTGAAATAATTTAAAGAATTTAAGTATCGAAATTTATTTAAATAATTAAATAACTTAAATATGACGGGCAGGTTTCGGATTTAAATTACTTAAGTTATTTAACTTCGGCCGGGAATTAAATAATGTGAATAATTTGTAAATAATATCAACAATTTACATAATGTAAATAATTGAAATAGTTTAAATAATTTAAATAATTTAAATCCGAAAAGGGGGGGACCACCCCCCCCCTGCCCCCTAAGACTTAAATAATTCAAATAACTTAAATCCGAAACCTCCCCGTCTTATTTACACTTTTTGAATTATTTAATTCTGGGGAGGGGGGGGGTGGTCCCCCCCCCGCCCGCCGGATTTAAATCATTTTTCATTATTTAAACTATCTAAATTCTTTAAATCGCCTGGGAATCAAATAATTTCAATTTGAATATGACGGGCAGGTTTCGGATTTAAAATATTTAAATTATCTAATTCGGCCGGGATTTAAATAATTTAAATAATTTAAACAATTATTTAAGGCTTCGAACGGATTTAAATTATTTACATAATTTCAATAATTTCAATAATTTAAATCCGAAAAGGGGGGGGGGGCCACCCGCCCTGCCCCCTAAGGATTAAACAATTTAAATAATTTAAATCCGAAACCTCCCCGTCTTATTTAAATTATTTAATTATGTAATTCTGGGGAGGGGGGGTGGTCCCCCCCCCCTTTCGGATTTAAATTTTTAAAATTATTAGATTGTTTAAAATATTTGAATTATTTAAATTATGGCACGGCTCTACTGACACATATTCCGCGGAAAGATTGTCATGTTTTTGGTGAAATTTACGAACACTTACCCCCCGATAAGCAAGATCTTGGAACCACTCCGCGTACTCAGCCTTTAAGAGTTTAAGGGGGTTTCAAATTCAGGGATACTTATATTTGCTCCTGTAAACTTACGAACACTTACCCCCCGATAAGCAAGACTTGGAGCCTGCAGACAACAACAAACAGGTCTGTCGCAAAACCGCGACCATTGATACATACCCCCTGTAAAAGGGTATGTCGCGTATGTGGGCCGCGGCCCGGTTACAAGCAATTAATATTGGCACGCGGCCATTTGTTTGCAAGAAACAGGGGTCTGCATACCGCAGCAAAACATAAACACATGATGACGATGCGAACAACTGACTAGATGATGAAGATGATGAGGATGAACAAGATCAAGGAGCTGATGAAGATGATGAAGATGATGAAGATGATGATGCTGCTGGGAAAGCTTTATGCAATTGATGCAGTGAAGTTATGCCAGTACAATGAAAGGACTCATGCAGATGAAGAGTGTGATGACAATGATGATAGAGCTTTGCGCTTTATTTTGTCACCCCGTCTCCTTGCTTCCTGTCTCTTCTCTTCTTTCTAGTACCCTTCCAGAAAAATGGCATCCTTGTTCTCTCGCCTCTCTCACTTCCC